TGCTGCAGTGAACATATAGGGTACAGATGTCATTTCTGCTGTGTTTTTTTTCACCCACTGGTTATATTCCCAGAGTTGGTATTGGTGGATCATATGGAAGCTGAATTTCTAATTTTTTGAGGAATGCCTATATTGTTTTTCAGAAAGGCTGAACCACTTGGCATTCCCACCAACAATGAGAGTCCCTTTCTCCCCACATCCACGCCAACACTGGTTCTTCTCGTTCTCCTTGATGTGTGCCAGTCTTTGTGGTGTGAGATGATATCTCATTGTTGTTTTGATTTGCATCTCCCTGGTGATTAGCATTGTAGAGCAATTTTTCATATATCTTTTGTATTTTTATTTGTATTTCTTTCTTTAGGAAGTTTCTGTTCATTTCTTCTCCCTATTTTTTTTTATGGGATTGGAGGTTTTTTCTTGTACAGTTCTTCTAATGTCTTGTATATCCTGGATATTAACCCCTTATCTGATGGGTATTGGGTAAATAATTTTTCCCATTCTGTATGTATTTTTCCATTTCTCTCTCTGTATTTTGATCACTGTTTTTTTTTTTTCCTCTTTTTGGGTCATACCCGGCAATACACAGAGGTTACTCCTGGCTCTGCACTCAGGAGTTACTTCTAGCGGTGCTCAGGGGACCATATGGCATGCTGGGAATCGAACCTGGGTTGGCTGCGTTCAAGGCAAACGCCCTACCCGCTGTGCTATTTCTCCAGCCCCTGATCACTGTTTCTTTTGAGGTGCAGAAGCTTCTTAGTTTAGTGTAGTCCCATTTGTTTATGTTTGTTTCCACTTACGTGGTGTTTATCCTTAAAGATACCTTAGTTTAAATGTCGTGGAGAGTTCTGCCTATATTTTCTTCCATATACCTTATGGATTCAGGTCTGATTTTGAGGTCTTTAATCCACTTTGATCTGACTTTTGTGCCTGGCGTTAGAGGTCTGAGTTCATTTTTTTTTTTGCGTGTGCTTGTCCAGTTTTCTTAACCTGGCTGAAATGGACCCCCTCTTGTTGCCTCAGTCGAAGTATATGTCTGACCTAATGGCTTGTGGTGGACCTCAGTGTGGAACAGTAGCCATTACCAAAGCAGTTTCAGAGCCACTGTACTTAGAAACATTTTCCGAACTATGCACTTTACCAGACCACAAGGGACAAGAGTTACTTAAAAGACTTCAAGAGTTTTAACTATTTAAGGCTTTATTGCCAGTTTTTTTTTTAATTTTTTAATTTTTTTTTCTTTATTTTTTTTTTCCCTTTATTGTATTTTATTTTTTTTTAAAGTTGTAGATTTACAATTTTTTGTGCTTTGGTTTCAATTATACAATGATCAGATACCCATCCCTCCACCAGTGCCCATTTTCCACCACCATGGATAATATTCCTCCCACCCCCATCCCCCCATCCCCCCTGTCTCTGTGGCAGGGCAATCCCCTGTGTTCTCTCTCTCCTTTTGGGTGTTGTGGTCTGCAAAAGAGGCATTGAGTGGCAAACATGTTCAGTCCATAGTCTACTTTCGACATGCATCTCCCCTCCTGGGAGGATCCTCCAAACATCCTTTATTTGGTGCTCCCTTCTCTATCTGAACTGCCCTTTCCTCTAGGATACCCGGCTGGCCTCTAAGTTATGGAGTAATCCTCCTGGTGCTGATCTCAGCTATTCTTGGGTATTAATCTCTTACTTTGTTACTTTATATCCCCCAGATGAATGCAATCTTTCTATGTCTATCCCTCTCTTTCTGACTCATTTCGCTTAGCATGATACTTTCCATATTGTACCACTTGTATGTAAATTTCATGACCTCATCCTTTCTAACAGCTACATAGTACTCCATTGTGTAGATGTACCAAAGTTTCTTTAACCAGTCATCTGTTCTTGGGCATTCAGGTTTCTTCCAGTTTCTTATTGCCAGTTTTTAATTGGTGTGAAATCCATATACTATAAAACTAACCCTTCTAACGTCAATAGCTCAGTGGCCGTGGGAACATTCTTGATATTGTGTGACCCGCCTTAAGAAGTCCCAAAACCTTTTCATCTACCCAAAAGAGAGAGAACCATATACCCACTGAACCCTATTCTTTTGGGCTTTATGGTGTTTTTTTTTTTTTTTTGGTGAAAAAGACTAATCACAGGTCTTTGTATGTGTTTCGTGTTCCAGCATTTTTCAAAATATGCCTTTTTGTTTTCAAAGACCAGTGGTCTTATTAAATGCGGGTGTTGAGGCAGATTTGCTGTTTGCAGTTGTAGAAGGAGGCCTGGGTTTTAGGGAAAGATCATCCCTTCTCAGGCAAAAAACATGACAAGAGGAGGATTTATTGTTAAGATATACACAGTGAGTAAGGTTAGCTCTTGGAATAAGAATGGTACAGAACAAAAATCCAGAATGGCTCTAAAATCAGAAAGATCTGTTATTCCTTTGATTTGGGGCCACACCCAATGGTACTAGGCTTCACCCTCTGAGCAGAATCCAAACTGTGGGCGGCACCCAGACCACCCGCATGTGCCCGGCCCTTTGCACTCTCTCTCTGACTCCTGCATGATCTTTTTATGGCACTGGTCTCTTTGAAAACTGTAGGACACCCAGTCATTCTAGAAAAATGTTGTGCTTTTACATATCTTCTGTTTTCTTTACTTTTTTTTTTTAAATGTGTCTTGGTCTCCACTCCCCTACTGTGTAAAGGAGATATAGTAAAGTTGTGTTAAAACTGGCAGCAAAGGCTAATCTTATTATTATAGGGACGTCCACTACATCCTGCTTGGACGCTGTGGGGTGATTTACTTTTTCCTAGAGAGTGATCCAGTTTGCAGCAGGGACAAAGCTCAATCATTACAGAACTGTCTTGTAAGATGTGTGTCAAAGTGTGTCTTCACAAATCCAGGCTCTGTCACTGCTGCACACTTAGTTAATAGAATTGTGTCTTGGGACCACCATCATTTGATTCATTTAAGTAGAAAACAACGACAGTCAAGGAATTTGTTTTCCTAATCACTTTCTGTGCTCATCACTCATTGATACTAATACTGGTTGTAGATTACCAGAGCATTTTAGAGATGATTACAACATTTTTTAAAAGAGTTCTTTATGTCTTTTAAAATAAATGCACAATTGGAATGCTTTAAAATGTATGTCACACCTCTCTGAATCTGTGTAACTTGCGCTATATAAGTAAATCTAGTTTATATAAACCAAAGCATAAATGCAACAGACATTTTAGAAAGTGGCCTTTTTTTTTAAAAAAAGCCACTTTTTAATATTATGGATTATTATTTGCTCACTTTAATGTTGAAATACATACTGCATCTAGATAGTTATGCATTTTAGTTGTTTAAAGTGTGGTAAAATGTGATATAGCTTTGACACTCAAGGGAAAACAGTTATAATGACAATATAGGTGATTTTTGAGATGATGAGTATAGTTATTGCTCTACTCTGCAGCTGATGGAGGAAATAAATGGAAAAATGAACAGCTAAAATCATTTGACTAGCATAATTTTTGTGGAATAGTAACCAGCCAGAAATAACAAAGCGTTGTTTTTTTTTTTTTTTGGCTGCCAATGGTCGAACCTAAAGGCCTCGACTTGACTTCAGAACCACAGTCCCTGGTTTCACATCCTCTGTTTCCAGAAATGATTTTTCCAACCATGATTATGAAAATAACGCACGCCTATGGCAGAAAGTTTAGAAATTTTTGTACACATATTTCATGCACAATTGTGATCTTATCCTATGTGAAATTCTGTGCCCTGCCTACATTTTTTTCACTCAATGTGATTAAGCATTTCCCAATATATGACACACACTCTCAGTAGACATCTTCCTGTTTACTCATAAAAATCATGCTGGTGCTATTTTGTAATGATGGGGGAAAGATGTTTGGTTAAAGTGTTAGGCTTTATTAGAAGAATCTATCGGACATTTCAGTATATAGGCCAGAGAATAAATTGATTATAGTCAACTAAGCAGTCCCCTTGGAACTACTTATATCTCTGAACTGAGTTATTGCTTTGTAGCGTTTAGCTCTTTCACTTATTAATAGTATTAGCTGTTCTCCTATATGACATGTTCATTCTCTCTGAGCGTGACGATCTTTTCTGAAATAAGCAGAAAGCAGATATTGATAGGAAGGCCCTTAAAGATTGAAGCCTAATCATTTAAGAGTGTGCTAAGCTTAATAGCTATTTTTAAAGGTTTTAATTCTGGACATTTATCCTTTTATGGAAAAATGTATGAGAAAGGAAGAGACTACGTTAGTATCATATTTTGATAGAAAAACATCTTGTATGTTTTCATTTTGGAAGAATAGAAGGTGTTTGGGGAATTTTGGATAGTACAGTGGTAGGGCATTTGCCTTGCATGCGGCCGGCCCGGCCGACACGAGTTCAATTCCTTCACCCCTCTTGGAGAGCCCGACAAGCTACCGAGAGTATCTCACCCGCACGGCAGAGCCTGGCAAGCTACCTGTGATGTATTCGATATGTCAAACACAGTAACAATAAGTCTCATGATGGAGACATTACTGGGCCCGCTTGATCAAATTGATGAACAACGGGAGGACAGTGACAGTGACAGTATCATTTTTTAAACATTCACATTGGGAAAAATTCAGCCTTTTATACATGTGCAAATAAGAGATATTTTATATGGTTTTATGCATATTTAAGCATATGGTTAGGGCGGGAGAGATAACACAGTGGGTAAGGCACGTACAGTGCACACAGCTGACCTGGAGTCCATCTCTGGCATTGCACGTGTTCATCCAAGCCCCGGCAGGAGTGAGCCTGGAGTACAGAGCAGGAGTAATCCCTGAACAGCACCACCTGTAGCCCAAAAGTCCAAAACAAACCAAACTAAACAAAGCAACAAACAAAATAAAACCTACATAATTGATAATATTTGGGGATTTGGAATTTAGAATTTAGATGATTATTATCATAACTATTATATAATTTTTAATTTAAAAAAATCACATGAAATCAAACTTTTTTTTTCCCCCCTCTTTCAGCCAGATGAATTATTCTTCGAAGAAGGTGATATTATCTACATTACTGACATGGTAAGCCCAGCTGATATTTTGTGATGATTTTTAATGCTACATGTAAACTAAAGTAATTTGGGTAGCTTTATGTTGTATGTTAGTCAAATGTGTACCTATAGAGAAACATGTGCTCAGTTCTTTTCATTTTAGTATGATTTGTAATAGTGTGGGCTGGAGTGATAGCACAGCAGTAGTGTGTTTGCTTTGTGCACAGCCAGCAGGCCGAGCCAGGTTCGATTCCTCCGCCTCTCTCGGAGAGCCTGGCAAGCTACCGAGAGTATCTTGCCCGCACGGCAAAGCCTGACAAGCCCCCCGTGATGTATTGAATATGCCAAACACAGTAACAACAAGCCTCAGAATGGTGACATTACTGGGCCTGCTCGAGCAAATCGATGAACAACGGGAGGACAGTGTAATAGTATAAGTTTGGAAATAGTTCTTCAATAGAATAGTTGAGAGACCAGAATGATAGTACAGAGGATAGGGCATTTGCTTTGTATGAAGCTGACCTAGATTCAATCCCTGGCATCCTGTATGGTCCCCTGAGCACTGCCAGGAGTAATTCCTGAGTGTTTAAGCCCTGAGCATCACCAGGTGTGCACCAAAAAACCGAAAAAAAAAAAATAATAAGTTGAATGAATTTTGATCTATCCGTGAGTAGAGTACTTTACAGCTTAGAAAGGAACAAAAACTATCAGTGCTTTATTATTGAGTAAGTGAATAAAAGCTGAATAGTTTTCCATAACTTCACTAAGAAAGGGTGAGAGGATATCTGTATACCTCTTTTCTTCAATTAGAAATACAGGGTCAAAGGAGGAGTCATAAGGGAAACAAATCTGAAAATAGTTTGTTCTATGGTGGCAAAGGGAGATAAATAGAAGATCAATGACACCTTATTTTATATACTTCGGAATCATATAAACTATGACCCCTTATTGTATCTTATTTTGGAATCATATAAACTTCTACATAGTTTCAAGATTAAATTAAATGCCAAAAGTGGTTTCTTACTTTTAAAAAACATGATGAATCAAATGTATTTAATTGTATCCAGGGTCATTGGCATAACCACATAACCACATAGAGCACAACAGTCCCAAGTGACTCTACAGCTGAGTTGCACTAACATCTCTTAATAGAATAAAATAGACAAAAAGGAGATTGTTTTTGATCACGGTCTTACTGGAGAAGTGTTGGTACTGTTATTCTGAGAAGTATTGTATGTATTTTAGAATTAAAAATAAAACATGTGAGCCAGAGAAATATTAGAACAAGTTGGGCATTGCTTTGTACACGGTGGATCCAGGTTCAGCCCCCAGCATCCCATTTGGTCCCAGTGCACCAGGAGTAATTCCTGAGCGCAGAACCAAGAGTAACCAGCACTTGAGCCTTATAGGGTATGGCCCAAGGACCAGGGTGGGGGGAAGTACCATGGGCTGGAGAGATTGAAATATGGAAGGACTGAAATACATTTACTATATTTAAATCCACCATTTCTCAATGATACAAACGATCTAGTACAACGGTCACCCTGAGAGAATGTAAGAAAGCCAACTTTTTTTTTTAAAGATTTTGAAGTTATTTATTTTTTTAAATAATTTTTATTAGTGAAACACCATGAAGTAGAGTTGTAGACTTACAAATTTTTGTGCTTGGGTTTTGATTATACAATGATCAAATACCCATCCCTCCACCAGTGCCCATTTCCCACCACCACGGATTCCAGTATCCCTCCCACCCCCACCCCCCCCCCCCATCCTATCCTGCCTCTGTGGCAGGGCATTCCCTTTTGTTCTCTCGCTCCTTTTGGGTGTTGTGGTCTGCAAAAGAGGCATTGAGTGGCAATCATGTTCGGTCCATAGTCTAGAAAGCCAACTTTTTATTGAAGAAAATATTCTGGTTATTTAAGTGAAGAGAGAATAATGGAATTAGGATTTCACCACAACAGAAGAGACCAGTAGGTATTATTTGTCTCGATGGAAGAAATCAGTTCTTTCTATGAAATAGACTTGTCCAAAAACCCTGTGTGGATTTAATTCAGCCTCTAGAACTAAGGACCAATTTATATGCAATAATGGAGGACAGAGGAGGCATTCAGTATTAACGCAGCAATGAAATAGGCAAAATCTACTTTGAAACTCCACAGAACAGAAGGTGGCTTCTCCATCAAGTTGATTATGAAGGGATGAATACAAAAGAGGGAAGCCCGACAATTGTATTTTTTGTTTGTTTGTTTTCTTTCCCTTTTATTTGCGAATAGCTTTTTTGAGTGGTGGGGCTAAGGGCCACACCTAACATAGCTCAGGGATTACTCCTGGCTCTGCATTCAGGAATATACCTGACAGTGCCCGGGGGACCATATGGGATGCTAGTGATTGAACCTGGGTTGGCTTCATGCAAAGCAAGTGCCCTGTACCCGCGCTGTCTCTTCAGCCCCCCCAGCAATTGTATTATATGGTCCTTATTTGGATTCCCAGGTTGTGAGGCAACTGGAAAAATGTAACTGTTAATTTCAATAATATTGACAGTGAGGGGCTATTAGTTTAAAGGAGCAATACTAGTATAATTATCCTTGGGAAAAGTTCATAATTTTTCTGTGGTACGTAATGAAGTATTTACAGATGAAATAATTATGTCTGGAGTTTATTTTAAAATAATCTGAAGGAGGGGCTGGAGCGATAGCATAATGGGTAGGCCCTTTGCCTTGCATGTGGCCGACCCGGGTTCGATTCCCAGCATCCCATATGGTCCCCCGAGCACCGCCAGGAGTAATTTCTGAGTGCAGAACTGGGAGTAACCCCTGAGCATTGCTGGGCATGACCCAAAAAGCCAAAAAAAAAAAAAAATCTGAAGAAAATGGAAGTTGTGAATGATGGTATATATGAAACAGTTTTGGATGAGAGTAAATGATTTCTGAAGTTGGGTGTTAGGTTTGTGTAGGTTTGTTATACTTGTTCTAATTTTTTTTCTTTTTTTTTTTCTTTTTGGGTCACACCCGGTGATGCTCAGGGGTTACTCCTGGCTCATGCATTCAGGAATTGCTCCTGGCGGTGCTCAGGGGATCATATGGGGTGCTGGGAATCGAACCTGTGTCGGTCATGTTGGCTGCGTGCAAGGCAAACGCCCTACCCGCTGTGCTATCACTCCAGCCCCATTGTTCTAATTTTTATAGGTCATAATTTTTAAAATCAGACATACCCCTATGGGACTGAAAAGATTATATAGGGGGATGGGGGATAAGACTCTTGGATTGTACGTGACTGATTCAAGCTTCCTTCCCGACACTGTATCTGATATCCCAAGCACAGGAAGTAAATGGCCCCTGAGCACAGAGCCAGGAGTGAGCCCTGAGCACTGCAGGGAGTGTCCCTCCACCCCACTCTCAAAAAAAGCTATTTGAAAATAAAGGGGAAAGAAAGAGACCTTTAGAAAAAAAGAAGAAATGAACAGTTTGATGCTTAAGAGAGATTAGGTTCTAGACCAAAGTTTCCTGGAGTAGTCTGAGCCCAGGGTAACTTTTTTGGTTTGTTTTGTATTATCTATGATTTGTTGTTACTGTGTCTGGCATATCGAATACTCTCGGTAGCTTGCCGGGCTCTCCGAGAGGGGCGGAGGAATCGAACCCGGGTCGGCCATGTTGGCCGCTTGTAAGGCGAACGCCCTACCGCTGTGCTATCGCTCCAGCCTTGTTTGATTGTTGAGGCTCTATGATGAAATGTATTTACTGTGTGGCAGGTGGATGTGAGAATGATTGTAATGACACGATAAAGGGGAATAGACATCTAGAACGAGGCTGTTGAGTAGGTATATTCCATGAGCCTAAAGGTTTTAAAGTGACTGAATAGAACCTGAATTTGATACCACTTAATTCAATCTTCTTTCATCAGAGTGATACCAACTGGTGGAAAGGGACCTCCAAAGGCAGGACTGGATTAATCCCAAGCAACTATGGTAAGCAGGGTTGCGGTGACTTTTTCTGCCTTTGAACCTTTCATCTGTTTGGTTCCCGAGGCCTTTCTGCTTACTGCTGTGGATAAGAAGATACCAGCATCATGGACATTCTAGAACATACTCTACTCCAAGAGCCTCTTGTTCGTTACATGGTCATTTAATGATTTTATGGCTCTTGAACTTGACTCCTTAGCATAAAAAAATAAAAAATGCCTCATTCCACTCTTGAAAGACCTCATGCCAAGGTCTGCAATTCCTGAATGCATGAGCCAGGAGTAACCCCTGAGCATCACCGGGTGTGACCCAAAAAGAAAAAAAAAAAAGAAAAAAAAATTAGAACAAGTATAACTAACCTACACAAACCTAACACCCTTTGTAGTTTTACTTCATACAACGCACATTTTTTTTTTCCTGTTAAATTCTCATGAATGATTTTTTTCTTTCTTTATTTTTTATTAGTGAAACACGATGAGGTACAGTTATAGACTTAGAAATTTTTGTGCTTGGGTTTCAGTTATACAATGATCAAGTACCCATCCCTCCACCAGCTCCCATCCTCCACCACCACGGGTCTCAGCATCCCTCCCACCCCCCATCCCCCCGTTCCCATCCTGCCTCTGTGGCAGGGCATTCCCCCTTATTCTCTCTCTCTCCTTTTGGGTCCTGTGGTTTGCAAGAGAGGCATTGAGTGGCAAACATGAATGATTTCTTAGACCAGCCCTTTCTTTCGTGATCAAGTCAGTTTGCCTTGTTAATGCAGTTTTGGGGCAGTGACATTTATTTTCTGCTAATGAAAGCTTGGGAGAAAATCAGCAGTGAGATGCCGCCTGTGTCATTAGAAGAGACAAAACACAGCCACGTACAAGAGCACGGAATTGGTCAACAGGGTCTGTGGGTTGAAAGCTGTTTTCTGTTGCTTCCTAGTAACAAAGGACCTTAGTGAAGGCACTTACGTGTTACCACTGAGCTCAGTTTCCCTGTGTGAGGGAAAACTCTTATTTCTCCATAACCAGAGGGATTGTTTGTTTTAAATCATTTCTGTTTCCTTTCAACTTGAGCATTGAACGAATCATTAGAGCAGTGGGGCATCAGGCTCCCATCTCAAGCAGTGGGTGCAGACTTAGAAAATTTCACGGAGGGCACTTTAAAGCTTCTGGAGGAGGAGGAGAAGGAGGACTAAAAAGATGGGTTCCATGGGTTCCCTGAAGGTTGGGGTTCAGCTATCCTGCAAAGGTTATACCATCTGGGATTCAAAAAACAAAAACTTCAGACGCTTCAATTCTGCTGATCTTTGAAATTCCAAATGTTCTTTGACCATGTACTCCAGTTCCAGCTGTCATGAATATCCAGGGTGTGAAATAGTCCTCTTTGGGTCCCCAGTAACTCAGTAGAAACCCAGTCAACGCCCTAAGCAGGAGAAGGGGTAGGTTTGAAGTCTCTCCCGACTCCTAGTTCTGGAATTTCTGTGAGCAAGCAAGCCTTCCTTAGAACTTGGAATGCTCATTCCCCCTTTCTCAATTCAGGGAGGAAAATCTTTTTTTTTTTTTTAAATTTTTGCTTTTTGGGTCACCCCCCCAGCGATGCTCAGAGGTTGCTTCTGGCCAGGCTCTGCAGTCAGGAATTACTCCTGGCGGTGCTTGGGGGACCATATGGGATGCTGGGGATTGAACCCGGGTTGGCCGTGTGCAAGGCAATTGTCCAACCCCCAATCCTATTGCTCCAGCCCCAGGAAAGTCATTTTTTTCTACTCTACTCCCTACATGCTCACACATGGGGAACTCATTCTTCTCACCCACATTTAAAGGAAGGCTTTTCTAGAATGTCAACCTGAGCATCACATGTTTTCTTTTGCCCTGCTGTCTCTGAGACTGCTTATTACATTCCTGACTCTAATGCTGTGCAGACTATGAATCTGGTTTGTTTTTGTTTCTGCTTCTAGTTAATGAATGTGTGTGGGTTTTCTTTTTCCCCCGAGTTAATTGCTATGTTACCGCCTGATTGTTTAGCTTGGTTTTCATCTAACACAAAGTTCGGCTTCTTTTAAAGCAGGAAACAGTTTGATTTTCTTTTCTTTGTATTTTATTTTATGCCTTTAACCCAAAATAAGTTGGGGAAAGCGATATTGTTGAAGACCCTCTGGGTGAATTTTTGTTCAAGATCATTTGGATGAATGAATCAGCAGTTGGTGTGAATCCCTTGGGTATTGTACAATCTTGGATTTGTGCTTTTTCGTTTCAATCTAGTGGCTGAGCAGGCAGAATCTATTGACAATCCACTGCATGAAGCTGCAAAAAGAGGTAGGTGTGGCCTTGGGGGGAGATTGTGAAATGCCTGGTGAAAAGCACCAGTTCTAGTGATTCAGTTTGATGAGTTTTAACAAATGACTACAGCCATGTAGTCATGAACCCCCAGATCAAGATCTCAAACTTCTCACATCCTAAATAGTTCCCCCCCCCCCCCATTGAAATCCTTGCAGATAATCTGTTCCAACTGCTCTCTTCCTCAAGAGAGAGCTAGGGTTTTAATTTTAAAATTGTAGCCAACAAACATGTACGTATACTTAGTCTAAAACCGGGGCTCTGTGGCAAGTGGGAAGTCTTGTTCTGTGGCTCCCAGAACTCAGACTCAGCCTGAGGAGAGAGATTTGTAAGAAAGAGATCGTTACAAGGATATGGGAAGAACAGTAAATGAAGTGTGTTTGAGGGAAGCTGGCAGAGGAGGCCAAAATGAGTAACTGGAGGGCAGAAGCATTGGTTTCTTCTTGGTGGTCAGCACTGAGGAGAGTGTTGCTTGCTGTAAGGCCTTTCTGTGAGGCTAGGGATGGGGTGGGAGGTGGAGGGAGCAATGGAAAGGAGTCTAGGGTGGAGGGTGGGGGGGGGGATAAATTTGGCTTAAACCTGGGGCTTTCTCCTATAGATTTATTTTTCTCAGCTGGGGCTGGGTCGAAGTTCCTTCAAGCTCCAGGCTGTTTGGTGATATCTTGAGATTCGGTGACTTCCATGAGCTCTCTCTGCTGTGAGCTCCCTTTCATCCTACTTCAGATCTTTCTGAAATCTAAAATTGGAGCAAGAGGAAACTATTCCTTGAGGGTCATGCAGAAGTAGAACTACCAAACTGATACTAAAAATTCTCTGTCAGTTAGATTCTTAGGACGTTAGCCAGTGGATTTGAAATAGTTATACCTTTGCATATACGCTTCTGGCAAGAATAGAAAACACATTTAATTTTATTTATTTTTTTTCTCTATTGAATCACTGTGAGATACATTTGATATATGAAGCTGGTACTCCTCCCTCTCCCCCTCTGTACCCCCTACCTCACCCCCCCCACCCCCACCCCCACTCAGATTCTAGAATTTTATAAGAGAAAAAAACCATTTTTCTTTTCAGATTAAAAAAGCTTCAAGTAAACCCATTTAGATCATTTTTTCCATTAACTTACCATGAAAAATTGATGGTAATGTTTTCCATTAATAAATAGGGAGCCAAAAATGTACCACAGTGAATGCATTGCCTGACAGGTCTTATTTTCAGATTTGCTGATTGAATCCACTGGACATTTATGGAGAATAAATCTGATCCAAAAGTGAAGCAAAAACCAAAAATGCTTTTTGTGTGTTTTCACAAATGTCAAATTCTTTTTTCCCCCCCACAGGCAATTTGAGCTGGTTGAGAGAGTGTTTGGACAACCGAGTTGGGGTCAACGGCTTAGACAAAGCAGGGAGCACGGCCCTGTACTGGGCTAGTCACGGGGGTCACAAAGGTATTCCATTCTATTGCGATCATAATATCTGTGCTGCTGAAAATGTGCTTTGCTTAAGCAACCAGAATTGTTATTAAAATCAAAACAGAGACAGGTATTCTTTGCAGGTCTGTTAGAACACCAGCCAATAGCCACATCCCTGTAGGCTTGCTTCCTTATACTTTATGGATATCACTCACTTGAAAGAGTGGAAGTTTCCTTTCCTCTCTGTGTTTGGAAAGGTGACAGGAAAACAATAGTAAAATCAAAGCAAATCCCTGTTTGATCTTTAGAGGAAGGGGCAGAAATGATTGCTGTAGAGTAGCCTTTCCCCAACGTCTCTGTTACAGTCTACCGTGATGGAAAATTGAGCTTCAAAATGTATTTGAGCCTAACTTCCATTTGAACCTCTGCACTCTTTCTCTGTTTGCCTGTGTCCTACACAAAAACACTCCTGACATCAGTGAAAAACAAAGAATTCCACAAATGAAGTAGCATAGCCTGAGGATAATGTTTGACTGTCTCCCCAAATAAGCCTGTCTTAATTTAGCTATGATATATTATCTAAGATGAGCCTCAGATGAGTTGCAAGAATATTAAATGTTATTGTGAATATTAAAGTATTTGTAGATATTATATGAAAATACAAAAGCTATGTTACTTGGGAAAAAAAGTTTCTAATTCCACTTTGTATGTCTTTTAAAATATGCCCAGACTTAGCAGATCTTGTCCTTTTCCTTCTGAAAACAATAAATAGCGCCTCTGTTTGAATTTCAGATATAGTGGAAATGCTGTTGACTCAACCAAACATTGAATTGAACCAGCAGGTAAGCTTGCTTGGACGGAAGTCGTTTAATACCTTTGCCTTGGTCTCTTTGTACGTCTGATGGGCATGTAAAATCTTAGTGTCCTGTATGATCTTTACCCATCCTTACCCAAGCTTGGGAGACCATATGGGCTTCCAGGGATCAAACCCTGGTCAAAAACCTTTTTTAAACATAGAGCCCCCTGGTTAGGCTGGGCTCACCCAGGATAATCTCCTTTGATGAACTCAATATCAAGCTGATTAGAGACTTAATTGGGGGAGCTATACTCTGTGACAGTCACTGGTCTCATCCGCAGGAAAGGGAAGGAAATTTTACAGGGCATGAACAACTGGGGAGTGGGGCATGGCATGCCAAGGATCTTAGGGCTCTTACAGAGTTGTCTTGCCATAAGCTTCTTTAAGCTGTTTGTGTTGTTTGGTTTTGTTTTGTTTTGTTTTGGGGCCATAGCCTGCAGTGCTCAGGGGTTACTCCTGGCTCTGCACTCAGGAATCTCTCCTAGCGGCTTGAGGGACTGTATGGGTTTCCAGGGATAAAAGGCTTCGTGCAAGGCAAGTGCCCTGTCCACGGTACTATCATTCCAGCCCAGTTATGGGCATCTCTTTATTTATTCATCGATTGCCTCGAGCAGGCCCCAGTAACGTCTCTTTCATCCTAGCCCTGAGATTATATTCAAGACTCTTTAGGAGAATGAGACCCATCATTGTTACTGGTATTTGGCATATTTGGTACGCCACGGGGAGTTTGCCAGACTCTGCCCTGTGGGCAGGCTACATTCAATAGCCTGCAAGTTTGTCCAAAGTAGGAATGAGACAATAAGATGTCATAAAAAAAAGTTCTGATAAGATGTCGCGCGGCCGCAAATGCGGCCGTGCGGTTCCGGGATCTGGATTTTATAGTCTCTGAGTCTTGGCCGCTGATGGGATTACACGGCGCCAGGGGGCCAGGTGATGGGTGTGACCCCCGCCTACTGGAATTTGGAGGATCTGGGTGGAAGATGCTCGACTCCAATCCTAGTAGGCTTGGAGGTCTCAGCCCCGGAACCCACGTGGCTTTGTCCCTCTGCCAGTACCTTCATGTGTGCGGAGAGTGGTCTCATCTCTTTATTTATTTATTTTATTTTGGGGACCACACCTGGTGAAGCTCCTGGCTCTGCACTCAGGAACCACTCCTGGTTGTGCTCATGGGACCATATGGGATACCAGGGATTGAACCTGAATTGGCAGTATGTAAGGCAAGGACCCTACAGGCTCTGCTATCTCTCCAGCCCCCGGTTATGGGCATTATAGAAGCTTGTTTTTTCCCCAGAAGTGAGAGGGAGGACTTTTCTTTTTCACATGTGGGGCTTTTCAGCCTCACAGAGCAGTCTCCTCCAGCTTTCTGCTGGGGAACGTAGGAGACTCGACAAAGCAGGGCTGTCTGCGAGGCGAGGACAGCTGAGGCAGGGCCTGCCTGCTTCATGTGGAGGTTTTCACCAAACCTCTTCTTTTAGTTCCTTCCTGGCCTTACTGCTTTCCCCTCTTGTACCTTCAGGTCCCATGAGCTTGTAAACTGGTTAATCTCTGTCTGTCCCTCTAATTTGTTTGTTTGGGAGGGTCATCTGTAGTGCTCAGAGACCATTTAAAATTTTATAACAAAATTTTTTTAGCTGCCATGAATCACCGTTTTTCATGATTGTGTTCAAGCATGCAATGTTCCAGCACAAATCCCTTCACCAGTGTCCACTTCCCTCCGCTGATGTCTTCCCACCCACCAGCCTGCCTCTATGACAAGTACTTTTTTTTTTTTTGTTTTTGGGCCACTTTGGTGATGCTCAGGGGTTATTCCTGGCTCTGTGCTCAGGGATCACTCCTTGGTGGTGCTTGGGGGGGACCATATGGGATGCTGGGGATTGAACCCCGGTCAGCCGTGTGCCAGGCACGCACCCTGCCTGCTGTACTATATCTCGGCCCTCCCCACACTTTATTTTTAAATGTTCAGCACTATGGTTTACAGTACTATTGCTGATAGTTTCATGCACAGCACCTCCTTCTAGCCGTCCTCCTGCTCCTGAGTGACGGCTTCCCTCCACCACTGTTGTAATGTTCCTATCCCTGTCCTGCTGTGGCCCACCCCCAGCCCCCCCATGGCAAGTTTTCTGCTGAAGACCAGTTCTCACACTCTTTATTTCTGCTGCCTTCAATTTGTTTATTCCCCTTTGTTTCTTTATATCCTGCATAGGAGAGATGGTTAAGGGCTGCTCCCAGCAGTGCTCATGGCACCATATGGTACTGGTGATTAAACCCAGGTGCCGGCGTGCTGGGCATGCCCTCAGCCTGTTGAACTGTCTTCCTGGTCCCTCTGATGATTTTTTTTTTTTGGGGGGGGGTCATACCTGGCGATGCACAGGGGCCACTCCTGGCTCTGTACTCAGGAATCACTCCTGGCAGTGCTCGGGGGACCATATGGGATGCTGGAGATTGAACCCAGGTTGGGTGCGTGCAAAGCGAATGTCCTCCATGCTGTGCTATTGCTCCAGCCCCTCTGATGCATTTCTTGACAGGGTAATTCTACCATGACTAGGTCACAGGATAGCAAAGGAAGAGGCAAGTGATCTGCAGTTGTGATAATCTAACTACCCCCCAGTACACTTTCACCCAGTACTCCTGGTTTCCCCGTCTTTCCTCAGTCTGCTGCAGGACCCCAGATATCTCGGGTTCCTGCTGCCTGCTCGGCTGCCGTGGGAGCACATTGCCCCTCTCCCTCGGCAGACATCTTATTTCTCCTTGTGCTTGGCCATGTCACTTTCTGTGCCTGGGGCCCATTCGACATCTGGAAATGACTCGCCTCTTATCCCTGGAGTCTCTTTTCGTCTTTGGAATTTTGTAGGTAAAGGTAAAGGTAAAGGCCCTCCCGTTGATCGTCGATTTGCTCGAGCGGGCCCAGTAACGTCTCCATTGGAGACTTTGTTGTTACTGTGTCTGGCATATCGAATACTCTCGGTAGCTTGCCGGGCTCTCCGAGAGGGGCGGAGGAATCGAACTCGGGTTGGCTATGTTGGCCGCTTGTAAGGCGAACGCCCTACCCGCTTTTTATTTAATTTAATTAATTAATTTATTTTTGCATCACAGTTTGCACTCAGGAATTACTCCTGGCAGTGCTCGGAGGGACCATATGGGATGCTGGGAATCAAACCCGGGTTGGCCGCGTGCAAGGCAAACACCCTACCTGCTGTGCTATCACTCCAGTCCCAACTATTTTCATTTTAGATTTACGTAGAGCACATCTAATTTCATGTGTGTTGTCAGTCCACATTTTGAAAAAAAAAAATAATACTCTCTCTTTTTTAATCACTGTAGAATAAGTTGGGAGACACGGCTTTGCATGCAGCTGCCTGGAAGGGTTATGCGGATATCGTCCAGTTGCTTCTGGAAAAAGGTAAAAGAGTATGCTGAGCTTGTAGGGTCTTTGCTTAGCTGTCTGTAGCACTGTCCTCCTGTTCATCGATTTGCTCTAGCAGGCACCAGTAACGTCTCCATTGTGAGACTTGTTGTTACTGTTTTTGGCATATTGAATACGCCACGGGGAGCTTGCCAGGCTCTGCCATGTAGGCAGGATACTCTTGGTAGTTTGCCGGGTTCTCTGAGAGGGACGGAGGAATCAAACCCGGGTCAGCCACACGAAGGCAAATGCCCTACTCACTGTGCTATTGCTCCAGCGATATATAGATATAGGGTCTTTGCTTATCCTAAAAAATTGCTATGTCTAATTATGCCATAATAAGTGTTAGAAGAATAATAGGGTGTCTCGTTTTATTTATTTATTTATTTATTTTTTTGGTTTTGGGGTCACACCCGGCGATGCACAGGGGCTACTCCTGACCCATGCACTCAGGAATTGCTCCTGGCAGTGCTCAGGGGACCATGTGGGATGCTGGGAATTGAACCCGGGTCAGCCGGGCACAGGGCAAACGCCCTACCCGCTGTGCTATTGCTCCAGCCCCAAGTCCCTCATTTTAATCCTGGAATTTTCAGCCTCTACTGTATTTATATCAGAGGTTCTTTCAGGTTGGGTTTTTTGTGTGTGTGTGTGTGTGTGTGTGTGTGTGTGTGTGTGAGAGAGAGAGAGAGAGAGAGAGAGAGAGAGAGAGAGAGAGAGAGAGAGAGAGAGAGAGAAAGAGAGAGAGAGTGTCAGGGTAGTGGAATTAATCACAGATACAGCAAGAAGTTCCCTGGTTAAACATGCCAAGTGTATTATTACTATTTTGTGAAAGGTTTTTGGTTTGTTGTTCTGTTTTGAAAAAAAAAGCTTCCTGCTTGGCGCTAATAGTTCTCTACTTCTTTTTGCCAAAAGTGATTCGTTTTAGTGGAAGGAAGACAGACTGCTGCTGCTAGATAATATTCAAAAAGATTCATTTTATTTACTGTACTTGTCTTGGGGTAGGTGCTCGAACAGACTTAAGAAACAATGAGAAGAAGCTGGCTCTGGACATGGCCACTAACGCGGCCTGTGCGTCCCTCCTGAAGAAGAAGCAGGGAGCAGGTAATTGGCTTCAGTTCTTTGTCCTCTGGGGCCGTCAGGATGAATATGAAGGGAAATTATTTCTTTGCTAAACTCTGTAGGTCAGTTCTGAGTTTAGATTTTTGTGTTTTTGGTCTATATCGGAACTCCCAATATAGCAGAATACCCTCCTTTTTGTTTTGTTTTGTTCTGGGACCGCACCCGGCAGTGCTTATGGTTTATTTCTCATTCTAGACTCAGGGATCACTTTTGGCGGGCTCAGTGGACTATGTGGGGTCCTGGGGACCGAACTTGGGTCAGACACATGCAAAGCAAATGCCCTCCCTGCTGTCCTGTCACTCCAGCCCCAGAATACCCCCTTGCAAACAAATTTGCAGGGACAACTCCTGTTTTAATTGTTAAGTTACATAATTGTTTGATTTATTTTTTTCCTTGCAGTAAAGTTCTAGACACTGCCAACACCATGATTCGGGAACTGTGTTCTCTGTTTCCTCTTTTCAGCTCTGTTTTTAGGACGAGTTATCTTTAAAGGGTTTTAAATAAAGTGACAGAGAGTCCCACCATTATGTTTTCTTTACATTTTAAAGGTGGGAAACACTGTCATCAGAATTACTCTAGACATTTTGTATATTTTGTTACCTAGTCATGGCACTGTGGGTGATTCTCCCCCCCCTCCCCGATTTTGTTGTGTTTTTCTATGTGGCTGATTTTTTAAATTAATGATTTAAAAAATTTAATCATTGTGAGATACACAGCTGTTTATGATTGGATTTCAGTCAAACAATGTTCCAATTCCAATATCCATCTTTTCACCAGTGTACATTTCCCACCACCAATTTCCCAATGTCCCCAGTTTCCCTCCCGTACCCCCCCCCCCACCTCTATTGCAGGCACTTTTCTCTCTCCCTGTCTGTCTGTCTCCATCTCTGTCTCTCCCTGTGCCTCTGTCCCTGTCTCTCTCTCCCTCCCCCCTTTGGGAATTATGCTTTGCAATATAGATACGGAAAGGTTACTCAGTTCTTGTCCTCTTGTCCAGATTGATCATTTCTAACTATTATTGTCACATTGGTCTCTTCTCCCAACCGTGGACCACTCCTCCTGGCCTCTATTTTTCCTGGCCTTGTATATTAGTCTCATACATTTTTTTTGTTGTTGTTGTTAGTGAAACACCATGAGGTACAGTTGTAGACTTACAAATTTTTGTGCTTGGGTTTCGATTATACAATGATCAAGTACCCATCCCTCCACCAGTGCCCATTTTCCACCACTACAGATCCCAGTATCCCTCCCACCCCCATACCCCTCCATCCAACCCTGCCTCTGTGGCAGGGCATTCCCCTCTGTTCTCTCTCTCCTTTTGGGTGTTGTGGTCTGCAAAAGAGACATTGAGTGGCGATCATGTTCGGTCCATAGTCTACTTTCAACATGCATCTCCCATCCTGGGAGGATCCTCCCAAAACCCTTTATTTGGTGCTCCCTTCTCTATCTGAGCTGCCCTTTCCCCTAGAATGCCCGGCTGGCCTCTAAGCCATGGAGTAATTCTCCTGGTACTGATCTCGGCTATTCTTGGGTATTAATCTCCTATCTTGTTACTTTATGTTCCCCAGATGAATGCAATCTTTCTATGTCTATCCCTCTCTTTCTGACTCATTTTGCTTAGCATGATACTTTCCATATTGTACCACTTGTATGTAAATTTCATGACTTCATCTTTTCTAACAGCTACGTAGTACTCCATTGTGTAAATGTACCAAATTTTCTTTAACCAGTCATCTGTTCTTGGGCATTCAGGTTTCTTCCAGTTTCTGGCTATTGTAAAGAGTGTTGCAATGAACAAACAAGTGCAGATGTCACTTCGACTATACATTTTTGCCTCTCTGGGATATATTCCCAGGAGTGGTATTGCTGGGTCAAATGGGAGTTCAATTTCTAATTTTTGGAGAATCGTCCATTCTGTTTTCCAAAAGCGCTGAACCAGTCGGCATTCCCACCAGCAGTGAAGGAGTGTCCCTTTCTCACCACATCCTTGCCAGCACTGGTTGCTTTTGTTGTTTTGGATGTGGGCCAGTCTCTGAGGTGTGAGATGGTATCTCATTGTGGTTTTGATCTGCATCTCCCTGATGATTAATGATGTAGAGCATTACATTTTTTTTAATATCCCACAGATGAATGCAGTTATTCTGTATCTGTCCCTCTGCTAACTCATTTCACTCTTTCAGTGGCTGATTTTAGAGGTAAAATTTCTGTGGCCCTTCTTAAAGATAAGACATTGATTGATGTTGCAGAGAATGGGCTTGCGAAAAGCAAAGGAGAGTTTGTGTTAAAAAGTGTAAAACACTCGTGATCACTGGACGAGGCTGCCTGTGTATTTTAGCCTTTCAGTGTGTACCTGTTGAATGGGTCCAAGATTTACTCTATGGTGATCATTCCTGAGAGAAATCCTGGGAAAATCTGCCTTGAACTCACCATGTTCCTTCCTTTTCACCCACTGTCTCCTCTCCTGTTTACACTTTTCATTTCCTGTCCTCCTCCTGGCTCAGATTTTATTTTATTTTACTGACTTTTTGGGTCACACCTGGCGATGCTCTGGGGTTACTCCTGGCTCTGCACTCAGGAATTACTCCTGGCGATGCTCAGGGGACCATCTGGGATGCCAGGGATTGAGCCGGGTTGGCCGTGTGCAAGGCAAATGCCCTACCCATTGTACTATAGCTCCTGCCCCTCCTGGCTCAGAGTTTAAGGTGGGGGGGGGGGGGCGGGAAGAAAAACCAACAAGATTTGGTTGGAGCCATTGGCCTTTTTCTCACTACACAGATCTTTCTCTTGTCTTTGCCACTTCATACACGAATGTATTTAACGGTCACTTGGAAGAATAGGCGGATAATGACACACATTTCCATTGCCTTTGTTTTGAACAGAACTGTCAGTTTTCACAAGTTTTTTTTTTTTTCAATTGCTGCTCATTCCACACCTCCATTTTGTTGTGGGTCTAAGGGTTAGACTGCTTCTCGTTGGTGAGGAAATAGCTTTTGAGAAATACCCATTATGGAGGCCCAGCGCATTTGTTTCCATTTTAACTCGAGGCTGTTATCATTTTCAGAATTCTCATAACTTATGTAATGAGATCCTGATATCCGTTTTTAGCATTTGAATTGAATTTTCTTTTATTTGTAAGCACTTGGGAACCTTACTTCTCTCCTAGGCATCATTTTTTTTTTTAAAGGTAATGTCTCCTGCTCCATATCTATTTCCTAGCAAAAGAAATGAAAGATTTTGTCAGTGCCTTTATCTCCTGCTTGATTCTATCCAAAATGGCATATAATTCCTGCCCTTCATGGCTTCAGGGAGCTTGCCAGCACTAATCCTATTCAAGTGTCAGCAAAATTCAAATATAGCTTCTTGCCACAAGAATCTCTTACTCCTTTTATCTTTTATTACTGATAGATTTTTCTTCCAAATTTTTCTTTTTATGTTTCGCCCTATCGTTATACCCAGGAAGCGCTTTGGGACTCTTGAGTTGGTTAAGCCATGAGAGTGCACTGTGAGAACAAGCCTGGCCAAGAAGCCATTCCTCAGGCATGCCTCCCTGTGGGCACTGCTGACTCCCTGAATGAAAGGTGCCAGCTGAACATTGTGCCCAGCTGTGAGTTTGACTGGGAAGAAATTGATGCAGCCAGTGGGAGACACTTGCACTGAGACACGTCTACCGTCGCCTTGGTCGACTCAGGAAGTGGCATTGTGGCCTAACTTCTTGCTTTGCCACTGATTTCCTGTTGCCATAGGGGGCCCTCCTGAAATTCTGACCCAGGAGTGAGGTTTTGTAAGAGTTAGAGGCTATGAACCTCAGTCATATTCTTTTCTCTTTTTTAAATTTTATTTTATTGAATCACCGGGAGCTACAGTTACAAGCTTTCGTGGTTGAGTTATAATCATACAGTGTTCAAACACCCATCCCTCCATCAGTGCACATTCCCTACCTCCAATCTCCCCAGTATACCCCACCTTTTTCTCACCCTCCTCCTGCCTCCATGGCAGACGGTTTGCCACAGACTCTCTCTCTACTTTACCTCGGGCATATTCTGAGCTTGATGGTGTCAGACAAGGAACGTACTGCACTTGGTGGGGACCAGGAACGTACTGCACTTGGCGGGGCAAGGAACATACTGCACTTGGTGGGGATAGGCAAGGAAAAGACTTGCGCCAGTCGGTTTTATGCACGAGTTTCCACATGAGCAGCTGAAGAAGGGGAAGGCAGTTGGCCAACACTTCTTCCTTTTTTCTCCCTCAGCTTTTCTGCAATCTTGGTAGAACGACACTGGAGGTAGTGGCCCCTTTTTCTCTGTTCACTCTAAGTGTCTTTAATCTGCTTCCAAATTTGTACTGATTAAGTTATGGATCCCATAAATAGGTAACCTTAGGGCCTGAGCCAAGAAGTGAACTCTTGTATTTGTTATAAGTTTTTTTTTGTTTTGTTTTGTTTTCTGGGCCACATCCGGCAGTGCTCAGGGGTCACTCCTGGCCTTGCTTGGGAGACCATCTGGGCTGCTGGTTCAAATCTGCATCAGCAAGGCAAACACTCTACCCACTATCCTGTATCTCTGGCTGTCTTGTTAAGCATTTTATACATTTTCATGTTATATTTTTCATGATTTTTTCCCTTCTTGTTTCATTTCCTCAGTCATCCAACTAAAAAAAGGTTCACTTCTTAGCCCGATAAGTACCCCTGGTAGGGAACTTGCCTTGCATGCAGCTGACCCGGGTTTGATCCCCAGCATCCCATATGGTCCCTCAAGCACCACCAAGAGTAATTCTGAGTAGAGCCAGGGATAATCCATGACCATCACGAGATTGACCCAACCCCCTCCCCGCCATCACCCCCCAAAAAGCACTTCTTAGCCAGAGATCACTTAGAATAGGTTCTTCTTTACACCCAGCTGCCTCTTAGGACCCTCTGCATCTTGAAACTGACATGTAAATGTAATCAGACAGTATTTTTTTTTTTTTTTTGGCTTTTTGGGTCACACCCGGCAATGCACAGGGGTTATTCCTGGCTCTGCGCTCAGTAATTACCCCTAGCGGTGCTCAGGGGACCATATGGTATGCTGGGAATCGAACCCGGGTCAGCTGCATGCAAGGCAAACGCCCTACCCGCTGTGCTATTGCTCCATTCACTATGTTTTTTTTTGATATCTAACTTCTTTCACTCTGTTGCCCTGAAACCCATCCATCTTTTGTGTTTATCTCTCTACCACTTATTCACTGCTGGCCTTGGTGCTGGCTGTGGCTTTTGTGAGTCTAGGACCTGAGTGAGACAGACCAGTGGAAGTAAAGTAGGAGATGTGGGAAGTGCTCTTCGGAGAGATAGTCCCATGTTCACCCTGCCCCCAGGACTGTGACAAGGAGACACTGGGCACTGTGCCCCTGGGATGTTTCCAGAGAAATTGCGACTCAGAGCAGTTCGTAAGAGGAAGGAAGGGGATAAATTGACTTTGCTCAGCCCATTTCTACCTCTTGTTTTACATTTAGAGAGAGTGTACGATGGCAAGTGATCTTGCTTCTAGAAAAAATGAGGTTAAAATAAAAAGCAGAAGAAAGCATTGAAGGACAAAGACCATCTTAAATGATCAGAATGGAGGATTGTGGCAGCAAAGTAGAAGGGGAAAGAACTTTGCTGTTTCTCTTTGTCTTTTGTTTTATTTTATTTATTTTTTTGCTTTTTGGGTCACAACCAGCGATACACAGGGGTTACTCCTGGCTCTGCACTCAGGAATCACCCCTGGCGGTTCTCAGGGGACCATATGGGATGCTGGGAATCGAACCTGGGTCGGCCGCGTGCAAGGCAAACGCCCTACCCGCTGTGCTATCGCTCCAGCCCCTGTCTTTTGTTTAAAAAGGGGCCCAATAGCAGAGCAGTTAAAGCACTTACCTTTCATATGGCCAACCTCTGCTTTGTTCAAGCTCTATGTATGGTTCCCTCTGCCCCTCCAGGAGTGATCCCTGAGCACAGAGCCAAGAGTAAGTCCCGAGCACTGCTGGGTGTGGCTTAAAGACAAAAACAAAATATTGCTGTCGGATCCTCGCTTTATGGCACGACAGTGATTTCCCAATTTGTTTTTTTGTATTTTCTTTACCAGACTAGGATTAATTCATGTCTTCAGTGAGCCATGATTTTGCTGTTACAGCTTATATTTATTGACTTCTAACAGTTCTTGCATTTAAACCTTCTTTTGAAAATGATGCCAACTTTAACTTGTTGCAATAGGAATTTGACCAGTCAGTTGAATAGTTGCACAATGAAAACACAAACGTCTTCCCTCTCAACTGCTGCAGGACTGATTTCTCACACAGCGGGGTCCAGCTCTCTCTTTCAGTTTTTTCTTTTTTTTTTCTTTTTCAGTTTCATTCTTTTGCTTCTATGGTTTATCAGTGTTTCTGAAATAAAACGGAAGCTTCTGTAATTTCATTCTCTTTCTTTGCCTTTTCTCCCCTTTATTAGTCCTCTTTCTATCCAGTGACCTTGCGGACAGGTAAGGCCACCAGCTGTCGTGTGCACTTGTCACTGGGTGAGGAGGTTGTTGCCAAGTGCCGGGACGTCTGGTGTGTCTGTGTTGCTCTTGGTGTGTATAATGGTGTCGTTGCATAAGAACTGCTGGTCCTGTAGCTCTGTGATTTACTGGTCTGCACGTCTAAGATGCATGCGGACTTGTGTATTTGTTCAGTTTTCTGGCAGTAGACACTCAGCAGCAAGGCTGAAAAAGCTCAAACCAAAAAAAAGATCCTCAGGCAAAGTACAGTGCTTGGGTCAGAGGGAAGAATCTAATTTGTTCGTTTGTCGGGAGCATCAAAAGGGAAAAGAGAATTCAAGCCACTTGTAATTTCTCTATTTTGCTTTCTTCTCATTTTTCAAAGATGCAGTTCGAACATTAAGCAATGCAGAGGACTATCTTGATGATGAAGACTCTGATTAATTCCCTGCCGGAGCGTGGAGATCTCAAAATTCTGTTGCTTTTGCCTTTCCAACCCTTGCCTTTGCGAGAAGAAAAGAGTGTTGGTAAATTAAAAAAAAGTATTCTATATGAGTGTGGCAGAATTTCCCTGTGTTTGAGTGGAACCTGTAAATTCATTGTTCATAGTTGCTACTTTCAATTTACCTTGAAGTGCTGGTCACCCTTAGGTCATGGTTACTTTGAAAACCACAGTACATTTTTGTTCTCCGGCATGGGACTATAAGAGATTTATGTCTATTTATCGAGCTAAAGAAATTTAAGGTTTTTCTTTAAAAAGAGGGTGTGGATTTTTAGTTAAAATTCTTTACCTCAAGATGACCTATTTTGAGTCGACTTTCTTTTTTTCCAAAGGGAGACAAGCTTGTTGTAATAATGAATCAGAAGAATTAACACAAAATTGTCAGCTGTTTTGACAAAAATAAACATTTCCAGTGATGGTCTTTTGCCAGCTTTTGCGTATTCATTTTTGTCACCCTTTGCTAATAAAGATTTTTGTTATTTGTGTGTCGATAAAGACAGTTTTATTCTTTAATTATATTTTATATTTATTAGCACAGAAGAATCAGAATAGCCAAACTTATGCTTAGCTGTCTATACTGCTAGATAAAAACTATTGAGAAGGTAGCCTTTCTAATAAAATAGAGACCTTTAATAGTGATGAACTCTCAGTTTTGACTCCAAGGTGAAAGAAACCCTGAGACTCATTAGACTGTGCTTAAGGTTTGGAAGGTTGAAAAAAAAATAAGGTCCAGGAGGTAGCCCAAGTCAATGAAGCACCCCTCAACACCTCCAGCAACCCCCTCAAGTAACCTCTGAGAACCAGAATCTCCAGATTTTTCTTCCTCTTCCCCTCCATAAGGGGTTAAAAATTGGAGTTCCTGGGCCAGAGACAACTCTATAGGCTGAACTCACACTACACATACTGGAGACTCTGATTTGATCCCTGGTACTGCATGGTCTCCTAGCAATGCTGTGTGTGGCCCCCATTCTAATAACAAATGATATATAACACACACACACATATATATATATATTTTTTTTTTTCCCTATCGATGGAAGATGTCCTCATTTTCTAAAATGGAATAAGTAGGCAAGTGGTGTCATGAAATAATTTTTTGCTCTCGTTTTTTTCTATGATAACATTTGTTTTCTAGCACAAAAAGATTTGAATTCGTTTTTTCGTTTCAGAATTTTAATGTTATCAATAATATAGTAATAAACATCACTGTACATCACTTGATCACTTAATCACTTGACATCCCATTACTCATTGATTTGCTGAAGCAGGCGCCAGTAACGTTTCCATTCATCCCTGTCACATGCTAGTGCAGCCCAATGGCGTCTGCTCGATCTAGGAACACGAAGAGCCTCAAACCGATCGTTCAGGGTCTGGACGAAGAAGTCTGACCATCTCATAGGTGGGCGGTCACACGATCTTTTTTTTTTATTTTTTATTTTTATTAGTGACAAACCAAGAGGTACTGTTATAGACTTACGAATTTTTGTGCTTGGGTTTCAATTATACAATGATCAAATACCCATCCTTCCACCAGTGCCCATTTCCCACCACCACGGGTCCCATTATCCCTCTCACCCCCCATTCCCTCAATCCCACCCTGCCTCTGTGGCAGGGCTTACCGTTTTGTTCTCTCTCTCCTTTTGGGTGTTGTGGTTTGCAAAAGAGGCATTGAGTGGCGATCATGTTTGGTCTGTAGTCTACTTTCAGCATGTTTCTCCCATCCTGGGAGGATCCTCCCAACACCCTTTATTTGGTGCTCCCTTCTCTATCTGAGCTCCCTTTTCCCCTAGCTTGTGTGGCTGGCCTCCAAGCCATGGAGTAAACCTCCTGGTACTAATCTCAGCCACTCTTGGGTGTTAGTCTCCTATTTTGTTACTTTATGTTCCCCAGATGAATGCAATCTTTCTATGTCTAAAAGATTTGAATTCCTGCAGAGAGCTTTTGTAGTATGAAAGTAACACTTCATTTGGAGATTGTGATTTTACATCACTAAAACAATAGTACTAAGAATGATGACCTTTGTCAGTGGTCTAGCTTCCAGACTTTAGACCCGTAAGTATTGTAAGAAATTTCAGCACTAATTTCAGAAAACACTTTTTAGTGAAGAGAAGGAAATGTTTTGAAGATGAAAGTGGTTTAACTCAGGAAATGAATAACTAATTAGGTTTTTTTTTTTTTTTATCTGTGACCCTGGTTTTTCTTACAGTGGGTGCAGAGAGAAAGGGTACTCTGAGATCAACCTGTTTGGGGTCTTTCAGATACCCCAACTACATTTTAGTAGAAAGTAAGTGATATCAAAGGATGAGGACAAAATTTGAAGTCAATAGAAGAGGGTTTTTGTTTTCAAAAGAAATGTTATTGAACTTAGGTTTATAATTTATAATCTTCCTAAACATATAATGAAGATAGGAAATCTAAAATTAGTTTGGGGCTCCAGAGAGTTAACTCAGAAGGTTGAGTGTCGGTAGCATGTGGTTCCCTGAGCATCACCAGAGTAAATGCCCCATATGAGAACTGGGGGCAACTCCTGAGCACCATTGGAGTGGCCCTGCTACCTCTCCCCAGACGTTATAGTTGATCCTGAATAATATGGGGAACAGAAACTCTGTACATAGAACTTTTGACTCCCCCAAACTGAACTGCTCTTAACCAAAAAAGTTTACCTATAATTTAGTAATTTAACACATATTTGCACGTCACATGTTCTATAAACTGTATTCTTACAATAAAGTAAGCTAGAAGAAAAACAGTGCCTTTGGCTTCCCCCCCCTAGTTTTTGGACCATAACCAGCTTGTGCTTAGGGCTTACTCCTGGCTCTGTGCTCAGGGACCACTCCTTCTTGCAATACTCACGGGACCATATGGGATGCTGGAGATCAAAACTGGGTCGGCTGCCTGCAAGATAAATGCCCTACCCATTGTACTCTCACTTCAGCTGTAATGACAGATAATGCTTTTAAGAAAAAAAAAAGGAGAAAAAATGAATTCACAGTCCTCTACTGTATTTGATAGTTTTTCATAAACCGTTTCCATAAATTTATATCATCTATTTATAAGAAAATGCACGTATAAGTGGATTCCCTAATTGAACCAACTAATCTCTTCTCACACAAATGAAATGATTGGGTTCTTTTTATTATTCTTTTGTTTTTTCTTTGGGGGCCATACCCAGCAGTGTGCAGAGGTGTTTCCTGGCTCTGTGCTCAGGAATAACTCCGGGTGGTGCTTCCCAGGGGCCCAGGTTAGTGCCAGGGATTAGATGGGTTGACTATATGCCAGGTAAGCACTTGATCCTTTTAGTGTCTCTCCAGACCTTGGGCTGGAGCGATAGCACAGCAGGTGGGGCATTTGCCTTGCACGCAGCTGACCCCGGTTCGATTCCTCCGCCCCTCTCAGAGAGTGCGGCAAGCCACCGAGACTATCCCGCCTGCACGGCAGACCCTGGCAAGCTCCCCGTGGTGTATTGATATGCCAAAAACAGTAACAACAAGTCTCACAATGGAAATGTTACTGGTGCCCGCTCAAGCAAATTGATGAACAATGGATTGACAATGCTATAGTGCTACAGGTTTTTTTTAGAGATTGTTTCATGCTGAACTCAGCAACAAAATCTGTTCTAGGAACTTGCCACCACTCTCTCTCTGCAGACCTTTGGTTGTCTTCTGCTGGTTTTGCGGAAACTTGAGCTCTTTGACAGCCGGTGTGATCTGGATGCCTTCTCAGCTTTTCTAGAAAGTCCTTTATACAGAAAAAGCCTTGTAGTCTTTTGGATAGTGATGCTTGTGCAGTTCAAGGCCCAGTAGCTCCAGGCGAAGGGCCAGTTTTTTTTTTTTTTTTTTTTTGCTTTTTGGGTCACACCCGGCGATGCGCAGGGGTTACTCCTGGCTCTGCGCTCAGGAATTACCCCTGGCGGTGCTCAGGGGACCACATGGGATGCTGGGAATTGAACCCGGATCGGCCGCGTGCAAGGCAAACGCCTTCCCTGCTGTACTATTGCTCCAGCCGCGCGAAGGGGTCAGTTTTAAGTTTCCCACTTGAGTTTCTCTGGGGGCTGGTCTGCTCTGAGTTTTCTGCCGTTGGGCTGTCTTGGTGTCATTTTCTGTATTTGTTTCTGTTCCAAGCCCCACACTGCCTGCTATGTTCAGTAGATTAGCTGGGAAGTGATGAGCAAAAAAGTGGTTGCCCTCTTTTTCTTTTTGGTTTCCTTTGATCTTGGGCTGGAGCGATAGCACAGCGGGTAGGGCGTTTGCCTTGCATGCGGCCAACATGGCCGACTCGAGTTCGATTCCTCGACCCCTCTTGGAGAGCCTGGCAAGCTACCAAGAGTATCTCTTCCACACAGCAAAGCCTGGCAAGCTACCCGTGATGTATTTGATATGCCAAACACAGAAACAATTGTCACAATGGAGACGTTACTGGGCCCACTGGAGCAAATTGATGAACAACAGGAGGACAGTGACAGTGACAGTTCCTTTGATCTTAGAAAACAAGTGAGAAATTATTCTGTAAAGAGTTCTCAGGTAAGGGAGAAGGCAGCTCAGATAGAGAGGGGAGCACCAAGTAAAGGGTGTTGGGAGGACCCTTCCAGGATGAGAGATGCATGTTGAAAATAGACTATAGACCGAACATGATAGCTACTCAATGCCTCATTTGCAAACCACAGCACCCAAAAGGAGAGAGAGAACAAAAGGGAATGCCCTGCCACAGGAGTGGGGTGGGATGGGGGGGTGGAGGGGTGGCGGGAGGGATGCTGGGAGCATTGGAGGTGGGGAATGGGCACCTTTGGAGGCATGGGTACTCAATCATTGTATTACTGAAACCCAAGCACAAAAATTTTTAAGGTCAACAAATGTACCACATGGAGTTTTACTAAAAAAAAGTTCTCAGCTAATTTTTAGTAGAGAAAAAGGCAATCTTTCTATTTGTTCTCTTGATAAATTTTCTCTTATGGAATTGCTAGTAACTGGCACTTCTTGCTGTGAGCGCTGTTTTTCTTGTCTTTATTAGTCATTTTTATTTCCTGATAGCATCTAGATTTATTTCCATCACATCATTTATTTTCATCAGATCACCAGCATTTCCTTGCTGACTTTGATGTGGGGTTTGTTCTCTGATTTTCCTGTTGTAAATATGTATGGGACAGTAATGCACAGGGCAGCCATACATTCCGCATTGAAATTCTGATGTATCTGATGACTAAAAGTTGAGGTCTCGGTGGGAGAAGTATTGCAAAAAATTCCTCTCCGTATTTTAACTGAAAGTATAGCTTTGACAGAGTTTTATTTTAAGTGAAGAGAAAAAAGGCTAACCACAAATTCATGGTTAGTTTCAGTTTATTTCTTAATCACAAACCTCCCCATATGCCCCTTCTTTAAATAACATAAACTTAAAAAACAAAACTACCGTTTATTAAATGCCTAATCTGCCCATTCCTATGCTAGGCACTTTCATAGACATGATCTCATTTGATCATTAATGGTCCCATCTGAGGCAGA